CCCGGCGCACAACAGTAGATGTGCTGTCAGATAAAAGATTAGCCTCCGAGCTTGTGAAGGGAAGGTAGGGGAAGGCTGACGAAAGAGAATTGAAAGGGATATTTTGAAGTGTAGCCCAGCTGCCACTTCCCCAGAAGGGAGGAGTTTATTATGAATCCATCAGTTCTCAACCTCCTCTGTAGTCCAATGGTTCTGAACCATTCACGTTTGACAGTTCCCAGAGGAGGGAAACCGAGGGCTGAAGATCTGCATATTAGTTGGATTGTAACTGCAGTTTGGATGCTGGGTGGGGTGTGCTTTGACTTTGTGTTTGTGGTAATTGGAGATGCCTTGATAGGTCCCATCGTTGTTGTTTTTAAGTTTTAAGAAAATTCCAAGAGTCCCGACAACACTCGTGGCAGTTTTTTGACAACAAGGTCTGCTGCTAGGAGCTGTCCTCTGGCCAAAAGCTAACCCTTTGCTGTGTATGTGTGTGTATTTACACTCTAAATATACAGAAAAGTTTGGATTTAGACATGAGAAGTGGTGAGCTCAAAGAGAAAGGGAGCTCTTTGAATTAATTTATGGCTGTTATTCAGCATATTGGTCAATTTGGTAACTGTTTGATTGATTAAATGAGAAAACACATTAGTAAACATTCTATTTGCTTTTAATATTCCAGCTTCTGCTACATGCATCCTGCAAAAGTATTAAAACAAAATATCTTACATCAGCTAGCAGACATGCACACTTGGTTTTTAAATTGCACTTTAATTGTAAACACCTATATTTGCACATGATCATCCTAATTAATCCTGTGCTCACTAGGAGAGTCTTACAATGGTCACATTTTAGTACAATGATGACCAGTGTTTCTTAAATACATGCATAAGTATTATTAACTGTATTAGATGAAGGCACATATCTGTGATGTAAAACACACTGACACGTTACCATGGCTCCCTCAGCCCGCCTGCCGGGAACGCTGTCCCACCACCGATAAATCATACTCTTCCGAAGAGAGGTGTAGAAGTTCAAACCTTCGATTGCCGTGTGTTGTTTCACTCGTGCGTTTCTCTCACTGTTGCCGGAGTGACATACGTGTTGTTGCCATGGCGACCGGGGCCTTAGGAGGGAGGGAGCAGGAGAACACACGCTGATCGACTGATTTGTTTAGCTTGTTGCCGGGATGGAAGGGATCATCTGAGGGGTGTTCTCTGGCGTGGGGCGCTCGGTAATTTGTGTACGTTTGCACAGCGAGCTGCGGCGCGACGCTTTCCAAGGACGACTTTGAGGGAAAAACTCAAAACATTTTAGGAAATGTGCTTTATGTTTTTTCGTATCGGATGAGAAGATCAATATCAATTTCACCTTCACTTCAGAGGCAGGGCCTTAACCTAGCTCCGCACAAACACTTCAGCACGGTTTACCTCACGCCGGCTCAGTTTTATCTGCCTGGTATTGTTAAGTCCTGACGTAACCTCAGATGTAATGAGTGCAGCGGGAGTTCTGTTCGAGAAGTCGTAAAATGTGTTTTGAGCTCCATAGTCGTAAAACGGTGACATGTTGCTGCACACGCAAACTGTATGCACACCATGATGCACCGTGTGATTTGTGCCAGTTGTTTATGTAACAGCTGGAAGGTTATAAATATTAGCTGGCAATAGAAAACCAACCGTGCAACACAGTTTGTGTTGTGTACCTGGTGGCCATTCATAGGTTGAAGTGCAGTGTCAATAAGTAAATGAGGCTGAGTGATGCATACGTAGAGGCAAAGTCAAAGTATCTTGGGCAATTACAAGGTGAGGTTTGAAATGAAAAACCCAAGGTCAGGTTGAGTTGAAATATATGCAATTTTCAGTTCTTTCTGCAGGATAATAGGAACCAGCAGCAGTCAGAACTTATTACTTTTCGTCGTCCTTAAGTTATACCTCCAGTCGTGTAGCCTCTGTCTTGTATTTTGTCTTATCCAATGTATTTAGATCCAGAATGCACGATTAAGACGTGTGCTCGCTCATAGAGAACGATTGTAGTCTCAAAACTGTTACAGATGCACAGACATTACTTTGTTAAAGAAGATCAGCGACACCCGCAAGATGATTAGTTGAATTTCACTCTATGTATATTTCCAGTCACCTTGTTTCCGAACAGCAGGAAGAATTTTGATCACAAGCGTCTGACGTTGGACACTCGTGTAAATCCGTATTAATGAAACGCTGGAGGAAGCTGCGCCTCTGTGAAGGTCTGAGCTTTTGTCTACAGGTGGCAGTGTGGCTCCATGGTTTTGGCACCTCTGACTGAAATGGACTTTGTCTTTTACTTTCTTTGTTTCTTTATGATTATTTTTTTTCCTGCTCCCCTCTCTCCTCCTCTGTCTGTCTTCTGCTCTCGCTCATTCTTCTCTCTCGTTAAGTGCTGTTGCCTCTCACATCTTTCTGGCTTTGTTCTTTCTCTCTCATTTTCTTCCTCTCTTTCTCAGTTTGTTTCAAACATCCATCTGGTTGCCGAGGCTTCAGTAAGAAAGGAGAGACGCAGGCTTCGTTTTCCACCCCATAGCTCATTGCCTGCAGTCTCTGGAGGGTTAAACAACCAAGAGGAAATAATTGCAGTAATAAAGAGTATGTAATAACTTCGCAAATGAACAGATTAAAGGTCTGCTGACTCCCTCCTACTCTTTTTAACAAATAAACCCGCTTTCTAAATGTAGCATCTGACATTTGATGAAATGCTTCATACTCTCCAGTGCCTACTTCATGTGTTACCAGTACAAACACTTCAGTAATTGTGGTACTCGGCTCTGCCTCGACATAGAACGGAGGCCGCAGAGTTACTGTATTTGTACAGTAATGAGGACGGAAATTATTAAAATATGATTAAACACGCACTCAGCGGGGAGTTAGCTAATTAGCACCGAAATGCCAGTGAAGGAACAAAACCAAAACAACAACAAAAAGCAGTAATAGAAGAATGAAGTAGCTGAAAGCAGCGTGGCAGCCGCCCTAAAGCCACTGCCCCTCCGACGGTGATAAGAATAATGTTTGTTTGGATGATGTGTGCATGTGTGAGCGAGAAGTCAGAGGGAGGGATGGGGATGAGTACGTCATGGGCAATTTCATTTCTTAAACCGGTGAGTGCTGAGGGCTGAGAAATAACCCAGCGCTCCCAAAACAGTAATTTCTCCCAGTCCTGCCCTTCACCGGTCATTTTCTCTTTTCCCTCCCTCGTTCTCCTTCTTCTCCCATTCAGATCAGAACCGGTTTTGAGATTGGATTTATTTAGTGCGGCTCTTAGAAGTTCATGCAATTATGACAGCATTTATTCTTCGGGTATGTTCAGGGTTATGTCCTCTTGTTATTATATATATTTATTACTAGAATGATTTTGCAGTCCATGTTTTTTTTTTTCCCGTTCGGTGGAGGTAACAAGTTTGGCTGTGCTTTGTTTGTGTAACTGCTCAGCCTTGGACTGCTATCAGAACTTGACAAGAACTTGTTACCCTCTTAACTTCCTTTCTGATTATTGCTATGATGCGTCACAACTTTTCTTTTTGTTCAAGGTGAAATTCTCCCTTTGTGATGTATTTGCCACGTTTGACAACATGTTCGCGCTGACTTTCTACACTGTTCTGTTGTCTTTAAAATCAGCTTTGAACAACCTTGGGTTTTATTTATTTAATACTATTAGAAATAGTAAAAACAAACATTGTTTCCTGCTGTCTTCAATGCTAAGAAGACTCATTAGGGCTGACCTGTAGTCTGATAGGCCTGCAGTTTTGATTTTCACGTCCATTAAAATGAAAAATTGCATGACCAAAACGATCTTATTAGAACATGTCCACGAGGGGGGTTTTGGACCACCAGGAGTTGCAGCGTTTTGCATCAGATACTTGATAAACGAGGAGGCAGCGTCACGATGGACTATTGACAGGTGCTTTCCAGGAAACCTATACAGACATCTCCTTCCTACAACTGTGCAAACACTATCTGCGCCTGATCAGACGAGCGCCTCACTGCCGGGCTGTAAACTCCCAGATTTCAAATTAGACCGACACGGCGACTCGGTTGGAAACTTGCGCTCAATTTTGCTATCACAGCTCAGCTAAAGATGTTACTGAAAACATTTGAGGTGAGAAATAAGCAGTGCAGCTGCTACATCTGTCTTCGTTTTACATCAACAACACATAGTGCAAAAGTTTTTTCGCGGGTTTCCAGAGGCGACGTGCGGCGGCAGGATGCTCCTTATTTACATGAAGTAGCCTAGAACTCCACTTTATGCAAATGTGGAGTGGGCAACGAGGCATTCTGTCTCCTGAAACGCATCGTAACACTACCAGAACGCATTGCACGGCTGCTGACATAGACAATGAAGGGGAAGCATTGAAATGACGCATCTTGGGAACACGTGTCATTAAAGTTGCAGGATCACCTGAGTGAAAACACCTTGTAGGTCATCAAAGTATAAAGAAACTGAGTTGTTCACTTTTCAAAGATGCTCAAAACTGCTCATTCTGTAAAGATCACATTCATGTGAGAGGAATTTTGTTTTTTGTTTTTTTTAAATATAGAAACTTGGATTACAGTTAGGGCTGCAAGGTGGCTCAGTGAGGACACACGGTATCTTTCTGTGTGGAGTTTGCATGTTCTCCCCATGCAGCGTGGGTTCTCTCCGGGTTCTCCGGCTTCCTCCCACAGTCCAAAAACATGTTGAGGTTAATTGGTGATTCTAAATTGTCCGTAGGTGTGAATGTGAGTGTGCTTGGTTGTCTGTCTCTAAGTGTAGCCCTGTGATAGACTGGTGACCTGTCCAGGTGAACCTGCCTTCACCCTGAGTCAGCTGGGATAGACTCCAGCCCCCTGTGGCCCTAGTGAGGATTAAGCGGTGTATAGATAATGGATGGATGTATGAATTACAATTAGATTGGAAAATGAACCTGTTTTTTATGTTGCAATGCCAAACTTATGTCCTTCCATCTTTCTGAATAGTAGATCAAACTAAAAACGTATTTTCTTCTCTATCTGCAGGTATGCTGTCCCACCTGAGCATGGCAAGAGGCTGGAGAGACTGGCACAAGGTGAGGACCTGCTTTCAGTTAAAATCAATTTGTTTTTGTTTGTTCAACTCTTCCACACACCTTTCTTTGCCTTTTTCTTTCTCTACAATGTGCAATACACGAAAGAGCAAGTGCTGTAGACCGCCGAGCACACACACACACACTACAAAACCATTCACATGCCGGACACTTAACATCTGCACACAATACACACTAGCACACATCCAACGCACACTTACTGGTCCTCTTGTGTGGGAGAACAGAAAGCAGTGCAAGCACCTCTCAGCCTGCCTCGTTCCTCCGAAAGCGCAGCACGGACAGCGCTGTTTAAAACTACTTACAACTCACAATAAACACCCTTTCTTGAGTTTCTTGTCTGACAAACACAGTGGTCCTCACAGTAAACGCTGCGCTGCACACTGTGGGCCGCGCACTGCAAAATCTCTGACATGTATTCAGGAGGTGAGAGCGCTTGATATCCCACTTTCTCACCGCATATAAAAACACAGCTCTTCTCTGTCACCTGGCTGTGCCAAAATGGAGTCTGAGAAGGAAGAGCGGCTCGAAGCACTTCACGTGTGCAGTCACTTGAGCTAAAAAGATCAGGAGGGTTGTAGACGCCGAATTCGAAGGGAGACGCTGTTTGAAGTGAAGCCAGCAGCATCATCTCTCTGTTCCCTAGAAGGACTTGGAGAAAACTTAGAAAGCCCGTGCAGTGAAGTCTTATCAAACTGGACCGCGCCTTGATCAGCGCTGAGGAACAAGCTGCTGGCTGTTGATGCCGTTTTCGCATGTCACACTCTGAGAGCGTCGCCGGTTTTGTCCGAATCAAACACATCGGGACCGGCGCTAATGGGAACATCAGGCAACATCTCTGATACACTAGAACATCACATTCCTCGCTGGCGTCTATACCAGGAGTTGGCTCTGACATGGGATTTCTGTCTCCAATCTACCAATGTTATCTGAGAGGCACTAAAGGAAAGCCATTCTGCGACTCCTTTCATCTCCCTCCTTATTTTCCAGCACCCGTGTTCTTCCTCTTATTCCCTGTTTTGATCAGCGAGGATTAACTTGAGTGTTGCTTGTTGCTCAGAGTAAAGGTGGAAGATGTGGGGATTATGAGGGAAAGTTGCTTAATCCCAACTACATTAAATAGACACACTGTCCTTGTCGTGAAGAGCTCAGAACAAATCAGTGATCACCAGTGCATAGCTTCTGTCTCTTGCCATCCTCCGTTTGTGCTGGAGTGGCTCGAATATGTAGCCCACACTATATGGAGTGTGACGGGGAAGCAGTCTCCTCAAAGGAAAAAAAAAAAAAGATTTACTTACTTGCATATGGAGCTACAGAACATTTGTTGTAGTTCAATTTTAGTTTTGTTAGTTGTAGTCAGTTAGGTCTCATGTTTGTGTTTTTAATTGCAGTGTTTTGACGTTAGCTGTTGCCATCTTTGCGTACAGTTAACACTTTTACAGGTTTTATTCTTATAGATCGTTAATGGAAAGTACTCGGCTGCCATGTCCCTTTGTTCTGCAGTGATTCACGTAAGACAGACGCTCCCCAGCAAATGTAGTTAATGTTATCGCTCCGTCTCTGTTGGTCCTACTCACGTAGCTACCTGTCGTCTGCACTGTAAAGCAGCAGCTCATACAGGAGGTGATTCACCTGGTGTAGTTGTAATACTGTACAAGGTTTGATTCTAGCTCGTGCAGACAGGCTAAATCATTGAAAACATTCAGCGAACAGTTTGGATGCTGACATTATTCCTGTAACTTGCTCATTCCTTCTGTCAGCAACGAAAGAAATCCAACTGAAAGTAACTTGAACATTACATGAACAGCTTGTGTTACGTTAAAGGGCCTTTTTT